TATAAATGCGTTCAGTGACGGCTCTTGGCATTAACCAAAAATATGCTTGTGGAAAAACGAAACTGGTTAGCTGTCTGCCGACCACGATGTAAGAGCTCCAACACGCTACCTTGGCATTTGGAACTCAGCAAAGTGCAAAAAAGTAGCCGAGCAGCAGGAAGATGGCAAAAAATCAAAACAACAGCAACAAAATTACTTAATAGAAGCACCGAATAAAAAGTAAACAAAATTAAATGTTAATAGCAGCAATGGGGGCGCCTGAGGCTACAAAAAAAAGAAGTACTAAAAAGAAGTAAAAACTAAATCCAAACCGGCTTCAAAGCACAGAACAATGCGAACATAAATCTCGAGAAAACAAACTCATTGCAATTTACGCGACCGATGCCTCAAACTCATTCAGCCACTCGACTCGACACTCGACTGCCAGGAGGGATTAAGTTTAGGCCCCGGGTGGCGATCGAACCAACTGAAGAGGCAACAGTGATGCACAGCTTTTCAAAAAGAAAAGTAAGGTGAGAATTATAAAAAGTAGAATCACTTTGTGGAGAGGAAGAGGAATATTTTCCATTTAAGATATCACAATCACATACACTAGCTCTAACAATTGGTAATTAGTTAATTAGTTAGTTTGACGAAATCACTTTCTAGTTAAACACCTATGGTCAGACAGTCAAATAATTTGCACAAAAATTCCTAATATTTTAGCTCTGAAAATGAATCACCAAACAGTTTCTTTGTTATAGAAATTTCAATTTAAATTTATTCACTTTTCTTAAAAACATTATGAATAGTCAGCTAGATGTGGAACCAATAGCACGAAATCACTTTATAGGTAAACACTTATGGTCAGACAAACAAATAATTTGCACACAAATTTAAGATATCACAATCACATACACTATCTCTAACAAATGGTAATTAGTTAATTAGTTAGTTTGACGAAATCACTTTCTAGTTAAACACCTATGGTCAGACAAACAAATAATTTGCACAAAAATTCCTAATATTTTAGCTCTGAAAATGAATCACCAAACAATTTCTTTGTTATAGAAATTTCAATTTAAATTTATTCACTTTTCTTAAAAACATTATGAATAGTCAGCTAGATGTGGAACCAATAGCACGAAATCACATTCTAGTTAAAAATCTATGGTCAGACAGGCAAATAATTTGCACAAAAATTTAAGATATCACAATCACATACGCTAGATATAGCTATTGGTAATTAGTTAATTATTTAGTTTGACGAAATCACTTTCTAGTTAAACACCTATGGTCAGACAAACAAATAATTTGCACAAAAATTTCTAATATCTTAGCTCTGAAAATGAAGCACAAAACAATTTATTTTTTATAGAAATTCCAATTTAAATTTATTCACTTTTCTTAAAAACATTATGAATAGTCAGCTAGATGTGAAACCAATAGCACGAAATCACTTTATAGGTAAACACCTATGGTCAGACGGGCAAATAATTTGCACAAAAATTTAAGATATCATAATCACATACACTAACACTCTAACAATTGGTAATTAGTTAGTTACTTAGTTTGACGAAATCACTTTCTAGTTAAACACCTATGGTCAGACAAACAAATAATTTGCACAAAAATTTCTAATATCTTAGCTCTGAAAATGAAGCACAAAACAATTTATTTTTTATAGAAATTCCAATTTAAATTTATTCACTTTTCTTAAAAACATTATGAATAGTCAGCTAGATGTGAAACCAATAGCACGAAATCACTTTCTAGTTAAAAATCTATGGTCAGACAGGCAAATAATTTGCACAAAAATTCATAATATTTTAGCTCTGAAAATAAAATGATAAAAATGTCAATTTATTCACTTTTCTGAAAAACATTATGAATTTACAAGTGAGGTCAGGATATCTTAATGTTAAGAGTAATTTTCATAAACTATATATATTACTATTATTCTAACGTTTAGGCGAGCAATCCTTTCTGCGACTTATTCAACTTTTGCTATTTGGTGCAAATCTGTATTGTTAAGTGCCAGGGAAAGCAATAGATTATATGTATTAAGTTTTTTTTTGTTTTTTTTTTTGATGACTTGCTTTATTTATCTTTATTTAAGATCTATCCTAGAAGGCATTGAAATTTGTTCAATCATGCGTTCTGTCAAGAAATCATATGCCGTTTCCGAATGCTCTCACTTCTGGAAGAACTAATTGATTATGCGCTTTCAAAACAAGACTTACCTTTTAAGCAGAAAAAGGCAACTGTTGTTCGCGATTTCGGAAGTGTGCCATTTTCAGATTTCAGATGGCGCATAATTTGTTAAAGCCATCTCTGGCCGAGCTGACATCACAGACAGACAGACGGACAGACTATTCAGAGAGGGTGAGGAAGTGAGGAAGGGGGGCGGGCGGCATCTGAAAACCTGCTGCCGTATTAATCCGATCGAACAACAAACAACTTGACATTGCGGCAACTCAATCTGAAGTATGTGTAGAAAGGAAGTGAGGCAGAGAAAAGTGAGAAAGGCACAGAGACATAAATACAGTGTATAGACGTATATTAAGTGGCACATTGCATAATACAGACTCGCACATACTCTATACACTACACCCCTGCCCGTATTCATTCAAAATCCACAATCCTACGTGACATGCAGTGAAAGTTAATTTTTGCGAAAAATCTGTATACAAATTATGAAATGAGTGAATGAATGTGTGTTTTCCTTCGCTATCACATCAGCAGCAACAGCCCCGGAGACTGTTGCATTGTTTTGAGCAGCGGAAATGGAAACCAGAAGCCAACCAACCAGCCAGCCAGCGAGCCACAATGGCAGCACCTGTGTTTGCCAAAAAAAAAAAAAATGTTGCATATAAATGTTGAATGTGCCAAGCACTCGATTAAATTATTTCGCTTCATTTTTTTGGTTTGGCAATTAAATGTAAATGGTCAGCAAATTGGTATCTGGCTTTATAACATGGCCAAGAGCGAATGGGACAGGCAGCCTCTTTAGAAAGGTTCGCAACGCTTGACTGCCAACTGTCAGCTGACGAGAGATGCGAAAGGGGGTATATACTTGCATGTGTATATGAAGTTTAATATATATTGGTAAATGCGAAGCGTCGCTTTATTATTGTTTGAAGTCAGTTAAATGTGTTGTATGCGTTCATTAAACAACATGCTTTCAATTAATCGTCGTTCACATGTGTGTTTCGATTTTTATTTTCTCTTATTGTTATGTTATTTAATAAGACAGCGGCTAACTGCTGAGCTCACTTGCTTTCGTTGGCCACAGTTTTTGGTGGCAGCTCTTATAATTGCTGCCGAGGTGTGCTTCACATTGACCAAGACATTGTGTTTTGTTCAGGCCGATTGACCGCCTTAGCGACTGGTGTCTTAGACGCGACTTTCTTTACCACTCCCGGCTCCTTTTTAACCGCTTATGCCTTTACTGGGCTGGTGGCGGCACTTGTGAATTTCTCTGATGCCTTGGCCACCTGTGGCTTTACACCTTTCTGTGGCATCTTTTAGCTTTTTTCGTCGCTACAAGTAGCGGACAGATGTGAATGTTTGTGAATGTTTGCACTTTCAACTTTAACTTACCTTTCAATGCCAATATTCGGCACTGATTTGTCTTCCTTTTCCTCCTCCTTCTAGTTACGTCCCATTAGCTCAAGTCAAATCCGTTTTAACTTCCTCTCACATAATCTTCATCTTCGTCTTTATCATCGTCTACGCGCATTTTTGCTTCAGCATCGGGTTATGTGGCCCCCTCTGAATTGGCGTCCTCGTCAGCCTCATCGCTCATAATCTTTCGCCTGCTACATGATCATCATTTACAACAACTCAGTGTTTAATTAATCTTTAGATTCTATTAGGAAATGCAAAACAATTATACTAATTTACTTGCTGAACAAAACAAAACCTTTACGCTTTATTTTACAGTCATTTCACATTTATTATTCATTTCTAAAGGGACGAAATCTTAAAGGCCAAGTTTGAAAAAAGTAACGTGCATTAATCGCGATTATAATTGAGCGCGAATAAGAGCTCGCTGCTATGTCACTGGACATTTACAATTTAACTCAGTCCGGCAGCCTCGCACGCTGTTTGTTAATTGTAACCGCTAGGTGTGCTTTTTGAAATTGTTTACCTTGACAAAAGCTTGCTGGTATCGCAGTTGCCCGCTAAATGCTTGTTTTATGTTTTTTAAAAATTGCCCACAATTAGTTGGTAATATTTCAGCTATACTATACTATACTTCTTTTATGTTTTTAATTCTTTTCAACTTATTGTTCATTAAACATGCTAAGCATTTATTTACTGCCATTGGCATCCATTTTTGCCAGCTTCTCTTTTGAAAATAATCCAACCATTTTATCGGTGCGGAATTGAACGTTTACGTTTCAGCAATTTGATTTTTTTGAACACAAACAAGTTTTTATGTCAATTTTTTTTTGCACTGGATTGAAGGCTATTGGCAAAGCACAAAATTGATGCGTATAATTACAGTGACAACAGCAGCCGGTGGAGATTTTTGTCAAAAGAAATCAGCGTTAATTGTCATCAAAACAAATATTGACACATTTTCGCCTGAAGTCGTTGTCAAAGCTCAGGCGGGGACTAAAGACAGGACTCCATCAAGGATTCGCTTCAGCCAACGGCCATTCGTTCACAGCATTTGCTTTCGTTGATGGTTCGAATAAGCTGAGAGTTGGTCAATTCTGGGAATGCCAGTTGGTAGTTCTGTTGCTTACACTAAATTAGCGCTTTATTGCATGTTTGTGGGCCCTCAGGCTCGACTAAGAGACAGAGGTACAAAGACGAAGCAGGTCTACTAAATTTTTGACACCTACGTGAACTTCTTTGCTTCTTAAGTTTGTGGTTCTCGTTATAGCCCGCATCGTACATATAGTATTTATTTAAGGTTAAAGAAACATAACAGTGGCTTTGGTTTCGGTATATAATAATGATACAAGTATGTATTTAAGCTTTTATTGACATTTCAAGCACCTGCATGTATTTGTCTTTCACTTGCACTATTTACAGGTCGTCGTTTCCTTAGAGGGAGTTTCTTTTCATTTTCTTTGTGGGCCCGGCATAGCTCAGCTATCATTGTCGTCTTGATGGACTTGGTTTAGGGCCTGGCTATTTTGGCGCCAAACGCGCCTTTATCACATTCCATTTCCAGTTTCACAAACAGTTACAGATTAGCAGTTCTACTTCCAGTTGATTAAGGCCCATGGAAAGCATTAGAATCGCTCGCATTTACTCGTAGATACCTAGTTTAGATCACATCCGTTAGGCATTTGGGCGTATATATGTTGGTAATGGCATCCCAGCCACAATCGGCTAGCTGATGTGCTCGATGTGGATTCCAATCGAGTCCGCATACAAACTCCGTATGCTGTTCATTGATTTCCTTTGCAGCTTCTCCCTGCTCCAGATTCCAAATCCTACACAAATAATTCACATTAGAGATATCTTTATGTCTGAGACTGTACTCTCCCACTTACCGTGTGGTGAAGTCATAGTTGGCCGAGGCTAAGACAGACGCCGAATGTGGCGAACAGGCCAGGCGTCGCACTGCAAAATCCCCAGAGTATAGCTCGAAGACATGCGTCCGCATCTTTCGCAGATCCCAGCCACGAATCAGACCATCCGAGCCGCCAGTCACCAGCAGATTGCGATCGAAATGATTCCAATCACAGGCCAGCACTTCGCTGTCATGGGCCGCCTCGATGCTCATCAGTGGTTTACCTGCAAGATCAAGAGAATTCCATAAGTTTAATTGTCCATCTGTACTTACGCTCGCAAAGAGATTCGCTATGAGTGGCGAAAACTTTGCGCAATATATCAAATCATTGTGTCCCACAAACGTCGTTATGGAGTGCTGTCGATTGCAGTCCCACAGCTTGAGTGTACAGTCCCAACTGGCCGAGAGCAGAGTATGATAGTTCCACTTCTCTCCCCAATCCAAACTGTAGATCTCATTCTTGTGCTCCTGCAAACAGATCAGCGGTGCTTTCGGTGTCTGCTGTGCCGTCGCCGCCTCCGCATCCAAGCCGGACCAAATCTGCAGCGAACCATCGCCAGAGGCTGTGGCAGCTATGTCGGCTCCATACGGACACCAGGCAACGTCAAACAGTCCGTCGGACCACTCCAGTCGACATAGCTCTGTGAGATTTTTTTTCGTCTCTGCAGTAGCATCTGTTTGGTTGTTCTGTGCAAGCAGAAAGAGCGAACCACCACCGGCCAGACCGTACAATTGGCTGGAAAGAGAGAAAAAGTGGAATTCAAGTAATGCCTTTTTTGAGGAAACAGATAAAATAAGAGAGAAGAGAAACGGACAAACTCCTTACAGAGATTCATCCTAATTGAAGAAGGGGTTTCTTACTAAAAACTGAACTGCAGTTGAGAGATCGGTTTAAAAAACGTTCGCTCTTGGATGAGGCCGTCTGGAGGCCCTTTGATAAAAGATAACAGAATTGATATCCAAGGCCAGAATAGACAGAAGATTGCAGCTCTGCTCATTACAGCTTTTTATCCATAACGCAAGGATTTGATGAATGACTTCTAAAACATTATTACTACTGAAGCGAAAATTTCACTTCTTTTTTGAATATAACAGCTAGGTTAAACGCTTTTTGAGCGCCAACTATTGCCTGTTTTGTTTCTCTATCATCTGATTTTCAAAAGAAAAACGTAAATTTCAACAAAATTACTCTCGGCTTTTTTTATGAGTGCGAGTGTATGTCCGAAATAAAGATCTGATTGTTTCTCTCATTCGATGTCGATGATTCGTTTTTACGAAATACTTTGATCACGAGACTAAAGGTATTTAAATAAATTTAATGTTTAGACACAGGTATATTTATTATGAAATTTAGGATGCAAAATGCTATTAAAAAATGTGTTTCAATATCTTTGGATTGAAAAAGGTTGTGGCTTTATTGGTGATATTTCTTCGTAGATTACGTTCTATCCCACATTTTCAACGACACAATTTCACCATCCAAGTACATCTCAGATTACTTGCCCTTCACTTCTTCAGTTACTATACTTTAGCTTTGCTTTAACTGACTGAAGTATTAGCTCGGTACTAGGCTATCTTTTAAAGTTTGGTTTCATATATGTGTGTGTAGGTTGAATGCGTTATGGGATTGTTCTCCCTATTTTTGTACCTTAGTTTTCCTTAATGGGACATAAACACTTGGTTTAAAGTATAAAAAAATACTTTTAACCGTTTAAATTTAACAAAAATCCATGCGACAATTCTCCTTCTGTTTTCACAACTCAACTTCTGTTCGATAACCCGTTTACAATCGATCATTCATTTAAAAGTTAGGGCAGGACGCACATTAACGTACCAGGGATACATAATCTTAAATAATATCTTATTCCTACATGTAATTGGACAATTCCTATGCTTGACCTACATATCTACAACTCAGGTGTATTTTGTTACCTATTTTTAAAACAAAAACGTTGTTCAGGAACATCTGGTTATAAGTATAAAGTAAATCTCACCTGGTAGCCAGCAGCAAATAGTTGGCCTCAAAGGGTGAGAAGCGCAGACTGTAGCCATGACGATCGACGGTGGTGTGTGTCTGTGCTTGCATGTCGTTTGTGGTTTGTGTGTTGGCTGCAAATAAAGAGTGAGAAATAATTGATGTAGACTTTATTAATTTCCTGCTTCATCCACTTCCAATGACCAGCTCGCTTAGTCAGAGAAATAATGAAAGAAAAATGCAATCAATATATCGATCTTTGATTTATAACACGCTGTCCCAGTGCAGCCAAAACTTCTAAGGTTTCCCTCAGACTTTAGTTGAGTAAATGGTTAAATTCTAGTCGCTTGGATCTGTTTGGCAATCGATCCAATCCATCCAGACACACATGTTCAGCAACAATTACGCGACATGCGGTAATAGTTAATCAAATGCTAATCCCCAATTAGGAGCCATGATGTCGGCTATTTAATGCTCGCATAACAGACATTCATCGTTGATTTGAACTTTTGCCAGTGTGGCGTTTGGCACGCGCTGACCTCGCACGAGGTCGGGACAGGCCTCTTCGCGACACTGCGGCACTTCGACGGCTCTGCGACACTTGACATTAGCCAATTTGGTCAAAACGTGCTAACAGAACTGCGCACAAGTTGTGTAAAAGCTGGCTTGGATGGGCCGCAGAACCTCCCCCAAAGAATCTACATATGTTGGCCGATTCTTTGCTATTGTCTGTTGCTGTTTACACAAAAATAGCTGCATAACGCGTAAATCCATTTAGTGTTGGCTGAAACCCCACGGGCATGGCCGAGCCAAAGGTATATAAGCAGGTTGTATGGCCCGGCAATTTTGCATTGTTCCCGAACCGAAGAACTGTGAAGGTTCCACGCGACGCGAGAATAAAATATATACTTGTAAATCGTTTAAAACTAGTAACAGAGACATAAAAGAGTACTCGACATGGTTGTGTCCGTGAAGGTTTTCAAGAAAGCGACTCCCAACGGCAAGGTTACCTTTTATTTGGGCCGCCGTGACTTTATCGACCATTTGGATTACTGCGATCCTGTGGACGGTGTGATTGTTGTGGAACCGGAATATCTCAAGAACCGCAAGGTATTCGGTCAGCTGGCCACCATCTATCGCTATGGCCGCGAAGAGGACGAGGTCATGGGCGTCAAGTTCTCAAAGGAGCTCATACTCTCACGGGAACAGATTGTGCCCATGACTAACACCAATATGGAGATGACGCCCATGCAGGAGAAACTGGTGCGAAAATTGGGCAACAATGCGCATCCATTCACCTTCCATTTCCCACCCAACTCGCCCAGCTCGGTTACACTGCAGCAGGAGGGCGACGATTTGGGCAAGCCCCTCGGTGTGGAGTACACCATTCGTGCCTATGTTGCTGACTCGGAGGACGATCGTCAGCACAAGCGCAGCATGGTCAGTCTGGTTATCAAGAAGCTGCAATATGCACCTCTGAACCGGGGCCAGCGCTTGCCCAGCTCGCTGGTGAGCAAGGGTTTCACCTTCTCGAACGGTAAGATCAGCCTGGAAGTTACTTTGGACCGTGAGATCTACTATCATGGCGAGAAAGTGGCTGCCACCGTTCAGGTGTCGAACAACTCGAAGAAATCGGTTAAGAGCATCAAGTGTTTCATTGTGCAACACACCGAGATCACAATGGTGAATGCACAATTCAGCAAACATGTGGCACAGCTGGAGACCAAAGAGGGTTGTCCCATCACACCAGGAGCCAACCTGACAAAGACTTTCTACTTGATACCCTTGGCGGCCAACAACAAGGATCGTCATGGTGAGACAACGCCTGCTTAGAAGAAGCTTCAAGACATTGCTTAATCTACTTCGCCTCTTAGGTATTGCGCTGGACGGTCACTTAAAGGATGAGGATGTCAACTTAGCCTCCTCGACCATGGTCCAGGAGGGCAAGTCCACTGGTGATGCATGCGGTATAGTCATCTCGTACTCGGTGCGCATCAAGTTGAATTGCGGCACACTGGGCGGTGAAATGCAGACAGATGTGCCTTTCAAGCTCTTGCAACCAGCACCTGGTAAGTTCAGCAAAGCTCAAAGAAAAATTGTGGGTTTAATAGTCTCCTACTTGTAATTCCCCGCTAGGCACCATTGAGAAGAAGCGTTCCAATGCCATGAAGAAGATGAAGTCCATTGAGCAGCATCGCAATGTGAAGGGCTACTATCAGGATGATGATGACAATATTGTTTTCGAGGACTTTGCCAAAATGCGCATGAACAATGTCAACATGGATGATTAGACGCGATCTTTAAACACACACACACACACACACACACTGATATGGCCCCGGGTTCATAATTTGTTTTATGTCTCTGTGGGTCCAGCTAACTTCGTCTTGTAGGTATTGTTAATGACAAATTCGAAATCGAAAGCACTGAAAACTTGTTGCCGCAGTTATCGATGTGCCAACGACGCTGATGTCACATCTTTGTATTATAACCGTATATTATTTACTATAATTTCAAAACAAAACAAAAAAACTTTAAACTCAAATTCAACAAACACACACGCTCTCTCAACCACCTCTCTCTTCATGTGTTGTATAAACTTTAGTGGATCTGGAGTTTATAGAGTTGAATATGTTAAAACAGACCACGGGTCTATAAATAAATGCTATGACTACTTGTAAACAAAACTTACTGTTCGAAAACGTGAATAATCTTAATTTATTTTCACAATACAAGTATATAGCGTGGTTTTGTTTTCTCAGTGAGTTTGGTTGCTTTGGCTTTCAACTTCAGAAGTCGAATGAGCTAAGGAGCTGCGCAAGATCAGCAACAAAGCCTGCGTCTTGTGGCCGGGTTGTCTTAAGGGTTGCGTTGACAGGGGGTTGACGGTACTGCTATAGGTCAGCCCTAAGTGGAAACAACCCCTGAACCTGTGCAACAGGCTATGCGAAACTTTTGCTCAGCCAATCAGCGAGAGGCGGCATTATTGGTGCCATTCTAACGGTCATTCGAAGCGTTGATATTTTTGCATAATAGACAATAGTTGGAACTGAATTAGACTCCTTGGTGCTTTGTATCGTTGTTTGTCTCCTTGTTGTGTCTCTGACCTTGAGTGTTTGGTGTAGTCGTATAAGGGCAGCTGGTTGCCAGCTGCCTGTTTATATAAGCCAACGTAACGTGTTGAAAAGCCACAAAACCGAAGCGGAAAATAAAAACTTCCACTCATAACAATATTTTCCCTCACTCTGTAGTCTCGTTGCACAATTGAAACGCATTGCTGCAGCATTTTGGGGCATCGAGTTGCAGCTCCGATCGATTTCACACTTGACTGCTTCCAACATTAACTTCCGGTATTGCTTTGCCTTTGGCTTTGGTGTGGCCGGCCAAGCCCCAGACCCCACACTGCATTAGATCAAAACGTACCAACTATAAATGCCAATGTTGTTGTCAAAATGTTGCCACAATTTTGACGAGAGTGCAACGCGAAGGTAGGCCATGAAACAGCAAGCCTTGAACCCAACTATTGGACTGTTGCTCCAGCAACTCTGGCTGCTGGTGTCAGTGCAGTCTCAAGCGCATTATTATCACCAACCCGCTAGACCGCTTTACTATGCATACGAGCCGCAACCTTTGCTCCGGCGTCTGGAATACACGCCCTATTCGGCACCCGCGCCGGCCACGCATTTTCAACAACAGCCACCCAGCTTCCAGGTGCTCAGTTACCGGCCCAGCTATCACCATTTGGTGCAGCATACGTTGCAGCAACAGCCGCCGCCGCCGCCGCCGCCGCCACCGCCACCGCCACCCAACCAGTATTCACCGCAGACACAACCACAGCCCCAACGTCCAATAGCGCCACATGGGGATCTGGCCAAGCATCGTCACGAGGGTAACTACATACAAAGAGCTAGAGGCGCCCCATTGCAGGTGGTTGCCCCGGCCCCGGCCCCGGCCCCAGCCCCACCCTATCAGCCACAGCTCGAGCAACAGCGTCGACTGGAGGAGGAGCAATTGTATCAGACACCACCAGCGCTCTTCACCAGCAACGTGCTACATGTCCTGCCCCGTGCCGCTCGACAACAGGAGTTGTTGGAGCTGGGCGCAGATCGTGCACGTCGTTACACGGACAATGAAGACGTTTTGGCAGCTGAATCGAAGGTGCGGCCAGTCAAGGGCAAACGCTACTATCAGTAAGATTATAGCATTGATTCGACATATCAAGACTCAGCTACACCCTCCTTTCTAATCCTTTCTAATTTCCTAAAGTGTTCGTTATAAGCTGTGTCTAAGTGCCAACGACTATTGCAAAAACTGTGCTTTAATAACTTTCTCAGAAACCTGTCAAAGTCAGCTATTAATTAGAAGGAAAGGTTTTAAGCTCACATAGTCTAATCTTTTTTCCTTCAGGCTGTTACTGAATTCTACATCAGCAACAGAGGTTTCCTTTATTATTATAAGTGCTGATAAGATGAAGATTTATTCTTGATAACTAAAAACTGTCTTTGCCAAAAAAAAAGGGGCAATCCTTCCTGGACATCTGAGTTGCTGCCAGGTCCAAAGTAAATCAGTTCCTATAAGAAAGATTAGGTTTGAAATCATAAGCCAACTATACTTCAGGCTGTTACTAAATTCTACATCAGCCACAGAGGTTTCCTACATTATTATAAGATTAAGATTTATTCTGGATAACTTAAAAGTGTCTTTACCACAGAAAAAGAGACGACCCTGCGTGAGAAACCTCTCATCTGAGTTACTGCCAGGTCCAAAGTAAATCAGTTACTATAAGAAATATTAGGTTTGAAATTATAAGTCAACTATAATCCAAGTGGATCCTGGTAGATCCTTTAAGCTGAAGCAACATAACCTTTCCTACTCTTGATTCTTATGGCTTTTTAAACTGTCTGAGGATTTCCGTATTCCCTCTTGACTTCTGCGAGTCTTAAAATGTTTCTAAATGCCAGAAGCTGGCACAACAAATCCTCCTACTACTTACTCTGCAGCCTTTCAAAGACATGTTCTCATAGGGAGACCGAATTTAAGAAAAGTATCAGAGAAAACATCAATCCACCCGAGCCAACATTTCGTCCTCAAACTATTACTAGTTTTCACATTTTCGCTGAGGTTTTCCAAATAATCATAAGTTCTGCGAGTCTTGATATGTTTCAAATGCTAGGCAATGACGCTTTTCCGTCTTCAACTTTACTCTTCAACTGTAGTGACATTTTCATGCGCTTTTCCGAGCCCAACTCGCGCAGTTCTGGCCACGTACTAAAGCAGCCTGGAAAGCAGGAGCAACGTCTTGAGTTCCAGCGCGGCACAAACCGTTACAAGGGCGAGGTGAGTTGCCAGCCACAACAACAACAACAGCTCATGACTTACTATGAAGTGGTTTTTATTGTCTTTAGGTGATTTGGACAGATCGACAGGGCGGTCATGGCGAGCATCGCTGGGACTTGGCGCAAGGAAAACTCTGAGCGCCAAATTAGCATAAACATTAGACTTTAGCTCATTAAGATCCTTCCCTTTTCTCTCCAACTCTTTCCCTCTCTCTCTCTCTCTCCATTTATCTGCAGCTTACTGTTTATATAAATAAGTAGATCGTGACTTTTCATAATTTTGGCGCATTATTTATTTAAAGGCAATGAATTGGCGTGAAATTTGAAAAACTGCTGCAAAAGATTTGCATACGAAGACAAAGAGGCCACAGCGACTGCATCCTTGGCCCAGGTCAGTAGATCATTTTCTCACGGCCCCGTCTGGCAGCAAAGTGGACTGTCCGGTTACACGGCTTTTTTTATATTTATTTTATAGCTGGCTCTGGCTGGCACTGGCTAGCGGAAAAAGGTCAGCGTTGGTTAGCCTGGCGCTTAGCCAAGGAAGAAGAACTGGTTTCAAGCAATGACCCGAAATGTCCTGCAGTTGCTTACAGTTACAAAGGCAGTCGGTCCATGCATGCGGGTCATATGCAAATGCGACGACTTTACAAGGGGTTGCTGATGTTACTTACATATCTCTCCTTGTCTTGTAAGTCGCTGACCTCAAGGGTGGTTGCAGTTCCTCATTTACATTTCCCCGGGACGCAACCTTAAGTGACACAAATGCCCCGAAGCTGTCAGTGTCCAGTTGTTGTTTACAGTGCGGCCCAGCTGACCAGCTTGCTTTCCATAATGTAAGTCCGTGTAAAGGCCAAGTTATAGGTGCCTATCAATATAGAATCGTAGAGAGTCGTCTGCATACTTGTATGTTAATTTGTTCTTTCCATACGCATACTCGTATGGGTATGCGGGTCATTTAAGACACTGTCTTAAGCTGTCAGTCACTGTCCACAACCGGTTCCTTGTTCCTTTCTGGGCGATAAGGTCATCAGCAGAGCATTGGTCGGTGCTACACCCTTTGCCGTTCTCACACTATCGCGCACTAGTTTCTAATTTATGCAAGGACATTGCGAAAGGACACTATTGCTTGGGTGCAGCATCTTCTGGCGCAACTGTGATTGCTGTGGCGTGAGTTCCCAGTTCCCAGGCCCGGCGCAATGTCCTTGAACCGGTTTGACCGGTCCAGCATTGCTTGGCGAGTCTTAGGTGACCAGACCTGGTGGCCCTCTCTGTGAGAACTTGCGTCTTAGATAGCTTTTTTGTCAGCAACTGGCTGGACGAGTTGCTGCCCTCTTCTTCTCCCTGTTGTTGTTGTTGTTGCTGTTGCTGTTGTCCTTCTGTCTTCGCGTTTCAGACTTGCAAATCGTTAAAGGGTTACGCCATTAATTTACGCGCAATTGCATAAATGTTGACGAGGTGTGATCCCAATTCGAAGCGGCTGAGTTGACATTTGAAGGAAAATAATAAACAATTAAATTAAATAATTAAATAATAATAATAAAATAAAACAAATATACGAGTATGTTGCCTAGGAAGAAAGATTTTTAAAATACTAATAAATTAAGTTACAGTGGGAGCAGCCGTTTTCGAAATCCATTTATACATACTTGCATATACTTTAAAGAGTCGAAAATGCTTTTTTCTGCCTGTTACATACATTTGTAAAAACTCAATAGACCCCTTTAATGTATGCAAGTTTTTTGTAAATTCGGCTTTTCCAAATGAAGAAATTTTATTCAAATTCATAATTTTTTTATAAAAAATGCTCTATATTGAGAGCTTCTCTTATCTTATGCAGCATTGTCTTTATCAAAGCTTATACTTTGCATCCAAAATAGTGCCGCCCGTCAAAAAAGTTCCATATTATCGCAAAACTCACAAGCATTTTCCTAGACTTTCACAATCACGCGTGGTTTTTTTTTTATTTTTTATTTTTATTGCTGCCTATTGTCTTAGAATTCTATAGCGCATTTATATTTTAATAACCTTGGCAACGAGTTGGCGAACTGCCTTTTTAACTATGACTATATAACTATGATTATTAATTTAAAACTATGATTATTTAAATTTGCTTATTTTCAAAGACTTGTGTCGTTTCTTTTATCTAAGGGGTGTAATCTTTTGAGTCCTCGTCTGTTTGTATTTGTGGCTTAGCTTGTTGCAAGTTGGTTTATCCGCCTGTCCGTATACCTCGAACTGAGTCGCCCAATTAACTGTGTAGGAATGTTGAGGTCCTTATGCAGGATTGCGTTTCTAACAAGCCAGTCAGCTCCAGTCTATCTTCTTATGGCCTTCTTTTGCATGGTTTGTATTTATACTCTGTACATGAAATGTACAAGAGTATATTAGGATTGCGGGAGCTGAAAAATGTAACAGGCAGAAGGAGGCGTGGCAGACCCCACAAAGTATATATATTCTTGATCAGCATGACGAGACGAGTCGATCTAGCCCTGTCTGTCTGTCTGTCCGTCTGTCCGTCCGTATGAACACCTGGATCTCAGAGACTATAAGAGATAGAGACACCAAATTTTGCACGAAGATGCGTTATGTGTGTATTCTATACGAGTTTGTTTTATTTTTTTGATTTCCCCCCCACTTCCCCCCTATGGGGGTTTTCCCGATTTTCCATTCGTATAATCGCCTATATCTCGGAGACTATAAGACCTAGGAACACCAAATTTTAGTCCCAGATGCCTTATGTGAATACGCAGAAAATGTATATTTTGGAATTCCCCTCCCTCCCCCCTCTACCCCGCAAATCGTAACTCCCGTAATTCTTGGAATTTCGAACTAAAATTTTGGAAATACCCCCAGTTGGTTATTATGTGTCCGTATACCAAATTTCATTATGATAGACCGATTAAACAAGAAGTTATAGCCATAAATATATTTGCTGATGCAGCGCTGCTGCAGCGCTGCTCAAGCGCTGCCCGCGGCTGTTGTTGATGTTGCTGTTTGGTTGACTGCGAAAATGCTTACACAGACACGAATAGATGCGCATAGGCATACATACACTCACACAGACGCAATTGCTATGTAAATGTGCAATTATACACCCTTTACGTGAGTTCGAATACCGAGAGAGGTAAAATCGATCAAATTTTTTTTTTATTTTCTTTATTTTTTTATTTTCTATAATTATTGTAAACATATGTACAGAGTATTTCAAAGTCGGGACACCCGACTTTAGCTTTTTTACTTGTTTTTTTATGGAATTGCAAATGTCGCCCGCATTTAGCGATTTTCCATAACTCCCGCAATACTTGGAATTTCCCTTGGTCCTTTAATAAATTTAATTTAATTAATTTGCTGATTTATACATATAAACATTTTGAAAAATTACAAACGATCAACCAACAATTTCATGTGAGAAAATTTGAATGAAACGAAATACGTATGAGAGGCGCGAGAGCGGATTAACAGTTATGATTTTTGATTCCTTGCCTTCACTTTTACATTCGTAGAGAGAGCATTCTGCTTGCAGCTGCAATGCAGGGCTTAGTTTTTCACGACCTGTTGAAGGCGTCGCGCCGTTTGTATTTGGAGTTGCCGAAAACACTAAGAAAATGTTTAATTAATAGTTTAAATATTGTAAGAATTATGTAAAAGCATATGCACATATTAAGTTGTGTGTGAAGTGTGCAAAATATGTGTTTATTAATGCGAAAATACCGCGCGATTAATGTGCTGCTTACATACATACAAGTACAGACTTATGTGTGTATGTGTGTGTTCGTGATTTCAAATAAATTGCGCAGTGCCTCAATTTTTGTTTTTATTTTTTTTAAGTGTTTGTAAACGTGATTTAATTAAGTAAAGGTGTTCAATTTGAAAATAATTTGTAATTAAAGCGATCGCAAATCATCTGTATGTAAACGTAAGTACGCAGCTATTTATATTAATGATTTTTTTTCATGTATGTGTGTATGTATGTATGTACACGTATGAATAGTCTCACTTACAGTGGCCTTTAAATTAGCAGACAAAATGTCATCATAACATAACAGATACACAAAAAAGAAAGCAAAAACCTCAAATTACAGAACTTGCCGAATGTGTTGTATAACAGATTGCTAACTTGTCTACATTTTTGTGTTGAGTCTGTTGTATGAAGACATACCAACAAGTTGGAGTTTGGGTGGTCGAGCGCACCAACTTGTCGCAAAGGACCGTTAGATCAATCAGAAGAGCAAGAGAGCGTATTTATTCTCTTTAAAAATGTAAGGTAATGAACTAAGCATGGAAGACACAATTATGCTTAATAAATAATTGGCAAGTCGAGACGATTACTATTGTCCGGGTTTTGCACAATTAAAGAAATTACGATTGACAGTAATAGTTTTAAATGCAATGTACGCTTTTTGGACTTTATTTATTTTATTTTTATACTCTGTACATTAAATGTACAGGAGTATATTAGGTTTGCGCGAGCTGAAAATGTAACAGACAGAAGGAGGAGTGGCAGACCCCACAAAGTATGTATATATATATTCTTAATTAGCATGACAAGACGAGTCGATATAGCCCTGTCTCTCTTCTCCACTTGTTAATTCTAACTTCGCAGTCAAAACCCGTTTCTACACCAAGTATTCATGTCCATTATAAAATACTTCTTTAGAACTACCCTTTATATTTGACTGTCGCTTCATAGTCTGAGTATTTTGAAATCACTACAAAGAGACACCATATATTTATAATTTAAATTTAAGTTGAATATTTTAAAAAGAATTTTAAAAATGTATTTATTGTCCTTCAGACATGTTGGAAAAGCTATTGTGAGTTGAAAATATTCAACAGTCTACACTTTTCCTTTAAATTCCCGTGTGTTCATGAAATTGATAATCTTTGTAAATTCTGCGAATGTAAAGGAATAATAATTTCGTAAATGTGCCTGCCACATCTCTAGAACAGGCTATATTACATATATATGTCCATTATAAAATATTTCTTTAGAACTATACCTTTTTGCAGCTTACCTCCACAAATTTGTGTGCAAATATTTGCCTGGGTATTTTGAAAATCCTACAAAGAGACACCATTTATTTACAATTTTAATTTAAGTTTAATATTCTAAACAGAAAGTCGTACAATGAAATGATTCTTATAAATGGAAATTTCGTACACTTGAACTATAAAATCGTGTTGCTCTATGAACAAATGAATGATTAATATACATACATATATAATGTTAATTCATAATGAAATCAGCTGCTAGCTCTATTTAAAAAGTCAACTGCAGCTTTCCGTTTTACAGACTACATGGACTTGCGGAACTTTCAGTTGTACAACAATACCAGAATATTATAGCATTTTAGTCTACTGGTATTGATGGTATTGGGGCTGCTGTTGTTGGGGCTGATGGTATTGCTGCTTGGCACTATAGTCTTGTTGTTGCAACTTGTGGCCGCCTGCGCGCAGCAGTTGCTGAGGGGCCGGTGTTGGGATCTTCACGACAATGTCGGTGGGTTCGCGTATGACTTCCGCCTTGAAACCCTCCTTGGGATCAGCTGTATACTTGACAGTGCGTATAAACCCATCGGAATCGACTACTGAGTAGCTGCCTTTGATGACGGAACCATCGCGTACTTCCTTGCGGTTCTGATAGTTGGTGAACTCATCGTCTTTCACATCGAAGCCAAACTGATACGAGGAATTTTGCTGCAAAGACAAACAGAGAAGCTTTGGAGTGGGGGAGTGGCAAATGGAATATGGCAAATGGGAGTGTTGGCAACTTAATAACCACTTCGAATGCGTAACGCATATTGGCCCAGTTTCATTTTTTGGCCGAAAAAATAACCGCTTGCAATGCTTGGCTATTACATCACGATTGCCGAACCGACCAAGCTGCGTGTGGGAGCCCCGACCGCAAAGCTCTGGCCACGCACAAGTGAAAGTAATTTGAACACTTGCATATATTTAAACCAACACATATCTATGTACGTGTATATCTCTATCTGTATAAATATTTTTAACGGCAACATTTGCTGCACTTATGCAATGCAATGCCATTAATCGAAGCTATTCGAAGCCGCACAGATTTGACTTCTTTTATTATTCGCGCATAAAAGTCATTGAAGCGCGTCCAAGTTTGCGTTTCAAGGAAAAACAATATTTTACAACTTTAAAATTGTTGCTCTTGCATTTTGCTTGCTCGCTGGCGGCACCCGAACATAATTTATGCAACAAGGTTGCCGGCCAGCTGAGGATGCGCCGCCAGATGCAAGACCTTCGGATCTGCAACATGGTCGCACCCACTGGCAAATATGTAAGGTCAGCTTGTGATTGAGAATGCGGCAACACAATCGCCAAGTAAGTGGGTTAAGGCAAGACAAGAACAGCGAAAATATTATCTGCCGCAAGCCGAAGATCTTGCACCCTTGACATTTGATTTTGAAGAATAGACTGTAGAATTATTCATACAAGTATAGGGGGTAGTTTCCTTTAAAGAGACAGCTGTAATGAATGCCAGAAATCCTCAGAGATTCTCCATTATTCTGTTGCTTTCCTAATTTACGTTCACTTGTTTATAAGGTTTCTTTTAATGCTGGAGATTGTTTAATTATTGAACATTTAATGTGATTATTAGACGACTACGTTTTAAGCTAAAAGAAAATGTTCTGCGGCGAGCCAATGATTGTGCATCCTCAACATTTGAATATTGGTATGCTGCCTTTTTCCCATTGAAATATATCAATCTTATTAATTTAATTAATAATAGCACATGGGAGGCTATTATTGTTATACGCATTTTGCTATTTATATACAAATATAAAAAGTAACATTTTGTTTGTTTATAAATATGGATTGAATATGTTTGTGAAATATTGTTATTCTACTGTATTAAAGAAAATAATTCTTAAGTGTTTTAACTTGTGTTTTGTTTTGAAAATAGCAACATTAAATTTTGTGCACAATTTTCTATCGAACCAAATTCAGGTCCTCAGATTTCTAGAAATTTTCTCATCTTATATTCCCTTGAGGTGGAACCAGAAATCGGAACCATTACTTGTTTATTTTAAGGCCATTTATTTTCGGCACTATGATTTAATTCTCTTCTGATCACCACGAAGTATCAAGCAACAATTATTTATTGAACAATTGAAATTTGAAATGTTCTTTGTGTAATTGGTAGAATGTCGAACTATTCTTATACTCTTAGATGTGAAAACGTCTACTTGTTTGGTTAATCACAAATCTAATTAAAATATAAGCGGAACTCCTCATTGTTGTTTTTGTTTTAAGCCTTTTATAGGCAAGAAACACAATTTTAAAAAAATAAATAAAACTACACTATTAGGACGTACATATTTCAAACTATTAGAAGAACTATGATTCCATTTGCAAAAATCAAACCAGTCTTGATTCAATAGACATGAGTAACACGAGTATTGAATTCATGAAGTCGTGATGGTTTCTCTCTATTTGTGTGCCACAAACTTTATGAGCGAGTCAATGTGCCTCGTAATTAGGCTAAGCAGATTGAAACCACAAAAACAACTGGGGCGTGGCTTTGTTCTTGGCTTGACGTGGCCCAAAAGTGCAGCTTGCAGAGCAAAAATTGGAAAGGCAGACAAAAACTGGCCAACTAGCAAAAAAGAAAAATAAAGAGGAACTGGAAAACTGGTTCTAGTGCGTGCACAGGAGTTGCAAACACACATATACGAGTACTTGTAGTATTTAGGTATATGGGTCACATTTGAAAGTGATTGTAGACTTAGACTATAGCCAAGTCTGAGACGAGGACTGACTGACACATGTTTATGGTGTCGCTGAATGAATGATAATTTGGTAACGGAAGAGCGGCAGCTTCCGCATGAAAATGCCATAAAAAACGAAAAAACGCGACATTCACAGTTACGGGCCATAATATGTGTGTATGGGATAACTGCTAAGTGGACAAGCTGTTGCCTGATGCCTGGTTAATGAACTCTTTCTATCTCTCTTCCCCCACCTGCGTTCGTCTCTGTCTCTCTAGCTATACGAGTAGCATATACTTGTACAACAACAAGGCAAACAGCATCTAACGGCTGCTTCAATTGTAATTATTTATGTATGTGCAGCATTGTTTGCTGGTTTCGCCTGCCTGCCGTGTTGCATTGAAGCGAAAACGAAAGTGCGCGAAAGCTGCAACTCGTTATGCACATGGAATGGCCGCTTCAACATCAAATGCCACACTTACATCATCGTATTCCTCCTCCTCCGCCTGCTGCTGCTGCTGTTGCTGCTGCAGATGCTGTTGCTGTTGCAGCTTGCTGTGTCCTTTGCTGAGCAGCGGCGATGCGGCCGCTTGGTAGGCTGGCTGGACGCGACGAGCTGGAGGCGCCGCCTGCGGTTGTCGGTAGATCGCCTGCTGTGGCTGCGACTGATACTATATAGATATGGAATACAAAAAGAATCATTATAGCTTGATTGAAAACTAAATTGCTGAATGCAACCATTTTGAAAAAAACCCTAATTAATTCAGTGGAAAACGTTTTGCCCTGAAGCTAGTGTTCCTACAAGTATGTTGTTCCTGGAAAACTTAATCATTGTTCGATTTTGGAAAATGTGCCAATCCGGCTCTGCATTACTTGCTTAAGTTCGAAACCTGCATTTTTCATAGTTTAAACATAACAAAACGACCTACAAATAACTTAGATAAAAAGCAAACTAATTTAATTGTTTTTAGTCACATAAACGAAGAACAACATTTGCCGAAAGAACTAAAACCCCCATCTAGTGCTAAAGATTTGTTGCTCTAAACTAAAATGTAGTTTTCTGCTAAACGAAAATTTTTTGAAATTTATTTTTAAAAGCAAAATTATTTGCAAGTCTAAAACAGGCACTGTAGCCTACAAAATATCACATAATTTATTATTATTCCCTAAAACAAGGAGGCCACAATTTTATCCATCAAATAGCCTATGTCCTGAGCACTTTATAAGCCTGACTAGCTCTTTGCTCCTTTCTTCACCTCCTTCTTCCCATTCCTTCCCCCATCTTCCCTTTCCTTCCCCCATCTTCCCTTTCCTTCCTTCCCTCACCTGTGGCTGTTGTTGCACATAATCCCTTACTGCTGGTGCCACATATCCTTGCGCCTGTTGCGCGCGTATTTGCTCGGCCACCGTATCCTTCAGCCGTATTTGTTGACCCGCACTCACATATTGTTGTGTCTGTTCCGAGTTCTGCTCATATATGGGAGTGCCATCGTTGACCTGTTGTTGTTGCTGCTGCTGTTGTTGTTGCTGCTGCAATTGTTGGTAATACTGACGCAAATAGGCGGGATCGACGCCCTGTTGTGCTTCAGCAATGCCGCTGCAGGCGCAAATCGCGACCGTGGCCACCACAAGCAATAGTTGCATTGCTATATATGTTTGTATATGTGCGAGTATATGTATGTACAAGTATATTTATATCTTTTTTACTATTTTCTACTTCACTACTTATTTTGAGTACCGTTAGGCGCGCACACGACTCACTCCAAGTTACAAATGTATCTGCGACCGTTACGAAGCCAAATTGCACTTTTATATCAATGCGCCTTGCGGTTCCACTCTAGCTGCTTCGAGTCGCATGTGGCAGCCATTGACGTCATCAATGCTTGTGCCGTCACTGCTGGCTACAATAGAGCGAGCCACCACACCAACTGGTTCACTCTTTCGAATGCTCTCCAGCCCGGAGCCGAGCTTCAACTTGCAGCTGGCCACGCGCTCTTTGGCGCCTCTTTCAAACGCAAATACTCTTAGGCAGATTATAGTAGGCTTGATAGCCAGATCTGTAACCATGTGAAGATCATGTGAATATTCAATATACAAATCACGTGAAATGGAAAATTTCGAGATATTTTAAGCGAAGTGCCAGCAAGATATTCAATGAGCCACAAAATTGTGGTATAATTTCTGTTTTGTTCTTTAGTCAAGATAGTTTATTAGCTGAACGTGCTAGTCAGGCCATTAGTAGTGATGAACAAGAGATTTATCAGTGCGCATCGGTACTTACAAGTATTATCTCTAAGCTTCAAGCCCATGCATATTTCGAATAGTTCTTCGCAAATCTTTCCACTTTCTCCGAGAAGATCAGCTTCTATTTAGAGTTTCATGAAAATTGCTTAGGAAAACTTTTATTTATACCATATTAAATGTCACGGTGTATCTAAACACTTTCTAATCTGAATAAACTATCAGTAATTTAATTTATTTCATTTATTTTCTATAATATGCTTGTTTTATTAATATTTACTCTTGTTTCAAAAGAAACGCGACACGGTTTACTTGTTGATACTATAAAAAGGATTATGAATTGAAATTTAGGTTTTCTACCAAATAAGATCATCTACTCGTTATGGTATCAATGAAAAACACCTAAAGCCTAAAACCTAATTAAAAATAAAAGAAAAGAATTTGAACCCTTTTCAAATTCTTTTCTTTTATTTAACTAAACCAAAAATGAAATTAATATAACTTAATTTACTAGAGAAATAAGATATATTAGTAGTTTATGATTTAGTCTAGAGTTAGGAATAGGAAAAAAATTCTTTTTGCGAACCAATTTGAACTTATTAATTATGAAATCATAATATTCAAACTTTTCAGTGTTTAAAAACATTTTATAATTTTAATAGCAGAGGCTGTTACATTTTACTAATTGCTGATATAGCTGTCAAATTTTACAAATAAAGGTTAAAGGTTTTAAATTTAAATGATAATATTAAAATAATTCTTTTCTGTCCGACCTAAGTCTGTCTATATAGTTATGTATGTTTTCCATCATATGTTTTTGGATTTGAAATAAATGTTGCTTAGAAATGCTAATTTTTTTACTTTCTGATAGAAATTAACCAATTTTAAATCACTTAAGCTCTAAAAATACCTTTATTTACTTAAAACAAAATCTAAATCTAATGAAATCAAATATAATCATTTCATAATCATTTCTTATACCGAATGCATTTTAGAGAGCATGAGGCCTTCGATGAGAATAGTATAAGATACTCAATTGAATTTTTGTTGTTGTTTAAATGGTAACAGCTGTTGTTTAGTTGCCGTTTCCGTTGCCATTATATCATGTTGTCATTGTTTGGTCTTTGGATTGGTTGGAGTGATCTGTGGGCTGCTGCGGAGCTAACTCATGCGGTTACTCAGCTGATTGCCGACTTTAAACTTTTTATTTCCCTTTGTCTTCAAAAGGGAAAATTTGTGCTACTTAATTTTCATAAAAATAACAAACAACATATTGTACATCTTGCGATGCTTTTCGTTTCAATAATTTTATGCAATATTATTTCGACCCATATTGGGTTGAATGACTGGCATTTATAGTGGAGCTGGCATCGTTTTATTAGATTAATGAATGTTAACAGAGCACTGTTAACTAACAGCGCTAAACTTTTGCTTTACTCTTAAGTGATCAAAAAACGCTTTGGGCCTTTGAAAACTTTCGCTAATTTATCTTGGTTTAATTTGTTGGCTTTAAATGATTTAAACGCTTCGTGTGCAACTCACAAACGTTGCAATTTGTGCAACAGCCTGAGCGTTTAGTGAACTTGTGCGGATTAAACGAGGCAGAAATGCCTAAAATTGCACAATAATTTCATTGTGGGCTTGCATGCTTTTCAATTTATTGCAGATGTACTCACTTGTGCTTCATTCTATTTTCATTTTCGCCTTTTTAGGGGGCGTTTTTTTTTTTTTTTTTATTGGCAATTTATTGTGTGCTCATTAATGGTCTCGCCCATGCGCCTGGCAATACTTATTTATGTCTTTGATTTCGCCAGACAAGTGCAGAGGCTATTGTTTATGCCAACGGCATCGGCTGTGGTTGACCCAAATCGCTAAATCATTGACTGCAAAACATAAATTTACAACAAACTCGAAACGTTTCGCTTAATGTAACTGTGCAGGTGATACCAAACACACACACACACACACACACACACATACTACTTACTACGTTTATGCCAACAATTGCAAATCAAAATCATAAAATTTATTGTGCTTCTATTCGATTTAATTTTATAACAATTCTTTGTTGAACGGCATCCGTAGCAGCGCCTTCAGAGAGTGCAAACTTAATAGAACTCAACAAATAAACTGAAAAAAAAGGTACTCTAATATTTATGAGAAAGATTCCTACACTAATTTTTCAATTTATTTATATATTTTTAAGCTTCCCTCTTGAAATTCCTGTCTAACTCGGCCTGCCTTTACATGTGGGAATAAAATTCGATCACTAATACATATTTAATGAATATTATTGAAATAGTGTATTTTTAACAACAAAGTTACAGAAACCCCTTTTCGACAATTTCTAATCTGTGCATTTATTAATTTAATTAAAAATCACAAAAAGCACACATTTATGTTAGTTCCGGATGAAAGCCTCTAAACGCGGTAGTTTTCATGACTCTAAAAATCAGAGTTGTACTGAAGATTCAGCTGTGGTTTTTAACTCAAAATCAATATTTTGAACGAATTCTTGCTTTCGTGCCGGCATAAACGTAGTAACAAATACAGAGCAAGTCGTTGCGGTTGAATAGATCTCTACGTACTCGTGCATACTATATGTCAGCGATCTTTGATGTGATTTGTTGCCTGAAAGAGAGACGATTACCAAATTTCTGCATTTAAGCCCTTTGCGATCGCGATCTCTGCCGTGTGATCGCGCGTATATATGTGTGTATGTATGATCTGCCACGCAATGCAAACATTAAAAGTCCAATGGCTCCCCTCACCACCCCACCACTACCCATCCATCAACCACCCACTTTATGTGTACAGACAAATTTGATATTTGTAGGCTTTGTCTTTTTCTTTGCCGTCACCGTCCCGGCTGCGCTTGATGGGATTACTTAAGCGTATTGCGGTTCATGGTTTCTGTATTTTTCCCTCCCAACGCATTTTATATCGCATTTCGATCACTTATCGGTGATTTTATACAGGGTACCACAGCAAAAGCAAAATTTATTCAACATATTACTTAAAGTCCTTATATTCCTTATATTTGGCAGACTAATATTTGTAGACTATTCAAACATTTATGGTATATGCCAAACAAAAATGTTTCTCGCTTTTAACAAGGGAATAATTTAAGATGCACGAGTAGGTTTTTATTGCTGAGTCTACAACCAAAACTATCCATGCCGCTTTGGCTTTGTCGGCATTTTGTAATATCGGCACGGAAACGGAAAATTTGTGTCCATTACTTATATGATGTATTTCAATTAAAGTCTAATTTTTTGTATACCAATTTCTTTAGTTTTATAGGTCGCGATTTTTATTGTTAGTCCTTATTAATCCCAGCAACAGTTTTCATCAGAAATTAAATGTTTACTTTTAAAGATATCTTCAAGTCGTAGTTTATAATTCTGTCTGTCTTGTTAGAGGGCACATATTTGTGCGCAAATTATTTGCCTAAACCTAATAACAATTTTACTTAGATACAAATAATGGACTTAGCTGGTGATTCTGATTCTTTTTGTTTTAATTTCAATAAAACAATTGAACAACCATTTGAACAGCCCCCCAAAGACAAAAAACCAATAAATTGAAGCTGAAGAGTGATTTAAGATTTTCCACTGATATAATAATATAATATAATACAATTTAGTGAGGCATAACAAAGAGCTCATGAATTCACAAATTATGTATACATACAGTCTGTCAACTAATTGTTTGCAAAATGAAATTTGTCACCAAATTTCAACTTTAACATTAAATTTATAAATAATGGCATTATCTGGGAATATTTTGCTTATCAATTATTATTAAGATATGTATTAGCTATGGGTATGTCAAAAAAAGAGACGAATTTCCATGTAAAACGTAAAAGAAACGAAGAAAACAAAACAACGACATTTACGACACTGTCAATTAATTGTTTGCAAAATGCAAACACTGGTTGAAAGAAGACCATAGAAAAAGTAACAGGACGGCCAAAACGAAAAGGACCGATCGCATTTTTTTACTAGTATTCCTTCCACTAATTCCTTGTAAAATTTGCTTCAGTTTGGTAACGTATCTGTCACTTTGACCATTTTTGCAAACGCACTTATGATAATTTGATACAGCTAGTGTTTTTCCATTATAGCAACGGGAAAACAGCCAAACAGTTGGCCAAAACATATCGAATTAAACTTAGAACAGTCTATAATATCATTAACCGCGCCGAAAAAGAGAATTAAACAGCTATCAAGGCAGATTTCCATAGCTTTCTCGGCAGGATTGCTCACAAATTTTAAAAAGCATTGAAAATAAACCGCAAACGAGCCTCAGGGAGTTGGCCAATAATATTTACAATGACTGCAAGAAGTCCGTGTGCCAGAAGTCCGTACCCATAGCTAATACATATCTTAATAATAATTGAT